TTCTGCTGAGAACTTAACAATGGTGAACATTGAATATACGTACCTCTAGAACTGGGGCTGAATGCAGGGTATCTGCATGACAAAATATCACATAATTGATACATGTTTTAGAAATGTATGTGTGATACAAATTATTAAAAGATGGAGAGGAAGAAGGCAAAGAATATATGGAAAGTTAAGTATGCTTACTGAATGTATTTCAGATATTAGCTGGGAATAAAAGAATATTGTTTTAAATTAGGTGCAGGAAGAGAGAACTAAACCAAAAGACAGTATCTTTAAAAGAGGGGACTATGGCTATTAGTATAAAAATATTAGTATGAAATTAGCTATTAGAAAAAATATATAAACCTTCCTATATCAAAAATATAACAAGAAATAGAACCAACTAGAGTGGGAATGTGTGTGCGTGTATGTTTATACTTATGCATGTATGTAGATATTTGCATTTCTAGTTATATGTAATTATAGAACAATGTGGGAAAACTTCTGTAGAACATACTGGTACTATCAATAAATGTAAAAAGGCTTAACTTTCTAATGGAAAGAAAAATTTAAGATTGGCTAATAAGTTAAATTCAACTGTCTGTTGTAGATAAGAAACACTACTAAAGCAAACTCAATCAAAGAGGTTAAACATAAAAGAATGGTCTTCATGCTCTATTTCTACTCAAATACTCAGTCTTTAGCAATCCGTTAAAAAATATTTAGCTAAATCTTGTTACGAGCTCGTATGGCATCCAACAGTGTCTGCCTTGTATAAGCAAATGCTCTTGTCCTGTGTCTCGCTGCAGGCGCCTGTCTCTCCCTGGAGGTTGGGTTCGTTGTTTGTTCAGTGTTTGCCCAGTCAAAGAACTGATGAGTTTAAGAAAAGCCATCAATTTGCAGTTGCTCAGCCTTTTCTTGTTGTAAGGGTGGGAGTGACACTCTTTCCAGTTCTCTGTATTTCTGAGGCGGAGCTGGAAGTTGATACAACCACCTTTCAAAAGACCAATGGCCCCCAAATTCCACCTCTAGGTGTATACCTTAAATGCTTGAATCCACCTGTTCCAGGAGATAAATTAAAATAATATTGAATCCAATAGGCAGACACTAGAAACAACTCATATGTCTATCAGGAGCTAAATGAAAAATAAATTATGTAATATTCTTACACCATACTACTATGCCAAAAGGAAAACAAATGAATACTAACTATATATAACATGAGTGAAACTTACAAACATAATTGAGTAAAAGAAGCAGAAAGAAAAGAATAGACACTGAATGATTCCATTCATATAAAGTTCAAAAGTAAGAAAATCCAAATTACAATTTTTAGAGGTGCAGATGTAGACAAAAAGACAATAAAAAAAGGAAATGCTTACTGTAACTATGAAGGCATTGGTTACTTTTACAGGGGATAGAGGTTGGAAACTGGCATGTAGGAGTGCATTACTTGACCTGCATGGGGTAGTTTTCATGTGTGTTTGCTTTAACTAATTCATTAAGCTCTGTGCTTGAAATATTTCATAATAAAAGAGGCTTATATGATCATGAAGACAATACATGCTTTAAGACTAATATTAAGAAAAAACAGGGCTGGCCAGTGAGCTCAGCTGGTTAGAGCACAGCCTTGTAACACCAAGGTCAAGGGTTCAGTTCCCCATACCAGCTGGCCAATAAAGCAAAAAAAAAAAAAAACACACACCATTACAAACAAGTATCTATAAAAACATTTTTAATCCCAGTTAATTTAATTTGCAATAATCTACAAATATGCAATGAAAAGTACAGACACATCTGTTTGTTCTAAATTAGGAATAAATACCACCCTCTTCCCTCTCATTTCACCAGTAGATTCTTATCTGTGAAAGAAAGAACACCTGGCTTGATTTTGTGATTTATTTGTGATTTTCTCTTTCACGTGGCATGGAGATTGCATAATCATGACAATAGCAAGGCAGCCTTGGTCTGCTCTCCTTCCTACCAGACACACTGTGCATGCATACACACAGACCAGAAGGAAAAACCTTCCAGATCATAGTGTCAGCACTATGATCAGAAGCACAGGCTGATAGTAACATTAGAATTTAAGAAGGCTCAAATTTTTTTATATTAAGCACATGT